ATCTGGTTCCCTCTAGTGTCCATCCTATCATTTTTTTAAAAAGAGAATTCAAAACAAAAGCATTTTCCCATGGGAATGATTCTTAAGATTAATTCCAAAATCTTATTTCAAATCCATCTGGACCCTTAGTCTGTTTGTATCTTTCCAAAATCAAAATTCTAGTCACCCTTTTGCTGTATATTCCAAAATAATTTTTTTTTTAAGTCCTTAAACTTCTATTTAAAACTTATTTTGCTAAGAACTGAAGGAGACTCAGTGGGTGCTGCAAAACTTGTCAATCCAAAGGTTCCTAATAGCTGAAGAGCAGTTAACAAGCAATTTCTGAAAGTGATTAGAAAAGGAAGTATGCAACCCCAGTGTCCTTTTGAAGGACCTGACCGCAGTTTCAGCAAGATGCCTATTCCCTCATCTCCCAGAGCTGTAAGCCTGCTGGAGACCACTGCCTTGCAGTCCCCTTGTGAGGAGCAACTGTCTGGAGTACCTGTGGGTGATCTCAAGTCCTCTCCTTGTCTGGAGAGGAATTGTGAAGAGCCAGTCTACTCACCGGCTCTTCATTCTGCCGTGGTCATTGGCTCTGTTTTTAGCGGAGCCGTGTTCAGTTAGCCATTTCTTCCCTGGACTTTGCACAATTATTCATCAAGCAGCTCTCTGGACTTTACAAGTGGTCAGGCACTCTTGCCTCATTGTTCTGCAGACATGGTTAGAGGTGCCAACAGGCCACAAGGGCTGGTCCTGCCTCAGAATTCTGATGGATTCTCTTCTTGACCTCTACTCAGGGCCTGCACTGGGCAGGTGGTGGTGCGTCTGGCTAGCAGACTCAGGGAAGGCACTGGGTGTTTTCTGACCTGTGAGCACGGTTAGCCCTACTGCAGCACCTGTGCTCTGTAAAGCTTGAGATCAAGCAGGCGGGTGAGTGGACTGAGGCGTCATGGGAGGGATAACCTCAAGGTTCATCCTGACCCCACGGTCCTGGGCCCAGGCAACCCCCCAAACCAAGGTAGAGACCCCAGCGGTGTGAGGACTGGGCCGTTGACCCAACAGAACAGTGGCAGCCGTCCTCCCCACTTCAGCATCTCTGCTGGCTGGCTCAGATTATGCCAACTTGGCATTAACCTCTTCCAGATATGACTGGTGCAGCTGACATAGCACATGGGTGTAATTGGAGTGCCCTTTGGGACCAGGGAAGGGAAGAACTTTAGCAGCAGCTGCTGCCACCGCCGCCAGCCACTGCTACCACCACCTCCTGGCACCCCTAAGGACCCCATTGTGCCCCCCCAAGCAGCCAGAGAAAAGCAGGTTGGAAGAGGATGGGGGCTGGGAAGGGGGCTGGGAACAGCGACCCTGTTTTGGGGGCTGGCACAGCTGCCCCCTTGTCCAGGAGCTAACCTGGACAAGGAGGAAGGGGAACAAAAAGCCTGGCTTCACTCGGAGACTCACACGGGCCCGTACCACCTGCACGCTTGGCACTGCCCCTCCAATAAATTAATAGGCACCAATGAAACATAAGCACAGAACCCATCCAATGCTTCCTTACGACTTGCGCCATTAAATCAGGTCTCCTCGTAATTGATTTCTGGGCACCAGGCTCTCTAGTCCCCTCACCCCACCCAAAGGATCAGGGTCTGAGCCCAGGGCCACGGGGGGTGGCCAGCCAGCCCCTCCCTTCACTGCTGCCAAGGAGAGGGAGGACCTCAGGGCTGGCCCAAGGCCAGACTTCTTCCCACGTTGAGGAACCCCCACTGATCTGCTAAGGGAACAGGAAGGGGCCCCGGGGCCTCTCCAACCATCGTGGCAGAGTTCAAGTCATAGCAGCGTGAGTGAAGGAGGACGCATGCCCAGGTACCGCAGCTCCGGAGGGGGGTGGCTTTGCAGCCGAGGGCAGGGCCCGGAGCAGAAGCGTGGTGCGTTCACGGTACTGAAGCTCTTAGCGCCACAGGCCCGGTTCCCAAAGCGGCATTCCAGCAGGATGTCCTCCAAGTGGTGGCCGGTGCGCTCCACGAATCCGTGCATGTTAAAGCTGCTGCTGGGGAGGGATCTGGAAGCCTCTGTGTTGGGCCAGCCCAAGGCTCGGGTGTAAGCCGGGTAGTTGGACGGCTCCACACCGAGCAGCTCCCGGCCTAGCCAGCGCAGGTCATTGGAGGTCATTGCAGAGGGAGACGGCCGGGAAAACAAGTTGTTTGCCCTCTTCCTCGTCCAGCGCAGTGACGTGGCTGTACCCTGTGTAATACTGAACCCGTTCAGCCACCTGGTACAGGAGGATCCCCACCGGGGGCAGCCAGGATGGCTCCTGCCCAGGCCACACGGAGTGGTGTGAGCGGCCCTGCCATGAAGATGTGGCTGATGCCGTGGACGGTGCACCTGCCGACAAAAGCCACGCTGGGGGTCGCCTCGCCCTCCCGAGCCTCCTTCATTGCCTTTGACTTGGCTGGTCTGTTTCACGCTCGCCAGAATGTGCAGCTGCTCTCCGCTGCACCAGGAACCCAGAGGATTGCATGTCAGGAGCCTTGGAGGACCGGAGTCAAGTGGTGCCGTCCTGGGCAGATGGTGGGGCCTGGCAAGCGACCCAGGAGACCTGGCCCGCTGCCAGGTGGGAGCGACAAGTGAGGGAAGAGAAGCAGCAAGGACCGCCAAAGGAGCCACTGGCTGGGAAGCAGATCCTCTCTCAAGCTGGGCCCGTCGGGGTAGCCGCAAGTGCAGCACGGTGCTGGTTGGGCCCAAGGGAGCCGGGTCTGATGAAGACTGTTTTTCCACTGGCCTCCAAGGAAGTGAAAGATCTCCGCTCCCCTTTTCTGACAGAGCAGGTACCGCCTCTGCCCCACCAGGGCTGGCAGGGGGATTCTGCTGGGACAGGAGCCCCCTTTTCTCCAGACAGCGCATGAGAACACCATTCCTCTCATTGGGGCTCTTCATCCAGTGACCCCATCAGCAGCCAGGAGCCAGGCCTCCCACAGACCTTGAGAAGGAAGGGGTGGCCATAGCAGGACGTTTGGGGGACAGTTACAGAGACCGCGGCATGGGGCGCTCCCCACCACAGCCAGCAACTTAAGACTCCGCTGGCCCATCCCTCCCACCCTTGCCCCCTCTGCTGAAAGCAGCCCCTCCCCCAGAAGAGCCAGGCCAGTAAGGTCCATGCAGCCTCAGGGCAAACCCAGGACCACCATGCACCCCCCTGACTGCAGGGGGCAGCACCCCCCGTGTGGAAAACCAGAGATGGACGGGTCGGCCGCCGGTGGAGGTCCCTCGTTCTCTCTGCCTCAAATGAACATCACCGGCTAGTCCAGCCCGTCTTTCAGGGATCAACATTCCACCGAGCTTCTGGCGCCGGGCACAATGACGGCGTGGACTGAACTGGGCAGCTCTGCTCCACATAAGGGAAACGTATGCTGTTCCTGGCCCAGGGCATGGAGGAGGGCACAGCACATCAGGGCCAGTGATGGGTCACTGCTGGGCACAAGGGAGCCGTTCGAAAGGGAGCGGGCCTTGTTTGCCAACAAAATGTGCTGGCACACTTGGAGCTCCTCCTGGGCCAGGGAGAGCTTTTCCCGAGTTCAGTTGAGGAAACTTTTGAATTCTAGCTTATTGACATGCCCTCCAGAGAGACTTTTCTTTTTCTTCCCCCAGAAAGAGTGATGGTGGCTGGCGTATAACGCTGGACCACAAGGAGGCGCCACCAGAGCTCTGCACGCTGCAGCGGGAGGGGAGGGCACTCTCGGGTACCTCAGAGCCCCTGGGCTGGCTCCTGCTCTGACTGCCAGGGCGCCATGTGGCCTTGGCCAGTCGCTCCTTCTGGCCGTCAGCTTTGCAGGTGTAAACAGGACTCATCTTGCCAGACCCGTGCGAAGAGAAAGAAAGCGGTCGGACCAAACACGCAAGTCCCAAGTGTCCCCGAAGTGACAGACACCATTGGGTGGGGGATAGGCAGCGCCTCTTCCGTAAATTATCATGAAATCAGAGAGCTACAAGTCATCTTGTCCAACGGTCTGTTCAGTGTGCTGCACTGAAGAATATGTCATGAAGATAAGATACTATTTTATGTTCTTTATTATGTGTGCGGAGCATCTCTGAAGAGGACCTTCCAGACTCAGTTCAAAGACCTTCGTGGGCAGCCTGCCCAGCCAAGGGATGCACTGGAGTCGGAGGGCACAAGCAGCCACTGGCTGAGAATCTCACAGCCCTCCAACCACAAAGACGTCCCCAAATGTTCTGCATGCAAAGGCGGCGTCTTTGTTCCCTTCGATTCTGCTCTTGAGTAGCAGGATCCAAATGCAAGAGAGTTGATGGCAGAAGCCCAGATTCCACCCAGGAAGGAAAGACCTCGCCTGGCATCCATTGGGATCCCCGGTGACCTGTCCATCTTCAAAGGGGAGGAATTTGCAGGAAAGATAAAGTCGCTCTACCTTATGGGGGCGACAGCAGGTGGAGAGTCAGTGCAAAGTGCAAAGAAGCGCAGGTGAGGCATTTGGGATTCGTTGGGGGGACAGAGAGCAGGGCTATGAATATTTAGCCCCAGGGACAGGATCGGCAGCGTGAAGCTTACACAAACACACAGCTGGAACATGGCCCGGGGAGATGGAGGAGGAGCAGAAAAGCAGTACCAACGCAGGAGGAGCACCCTACTGGAAATCAATCAGTCGAAGCCTGCCGGCAGTTCTGGAAAAGAAGCCGCAGCTGCGGAGGAGATGCTCCCGTGCAGAGCAAGGAGAGGTTGGCATCCCGCTCTGCCCAGCACCTCTGGGGACAAACACTGCCTGCCTGCCTGCCTGCCTGCGAAGCAAGGGTGACCCCCCCAGCCGCAGTCACATCCCGGGGGGGCGCTTTGCCCGTGGGGAGCCCACGATGGCTCTTCCCAGCTTGGGGGAGGGGGAAGATGCTGCCATAGCAACCAGCTAAGCTGCCTTGAAGATGGGAAGTTCACCATGGTAACAGGCCATCCCAAGAAGGGTGATGGACTGGATGCCAAAGAGGGGGGTGGCTCGGGGCAACCCGAGGAGGAGCGGAGTGGGCCAGGAAGAACCTGCAGGTGCAGGGAAAGAAGGCGCCAGCTCTCTGCTGGCGGGCAGCTTGAACGGGAGTTCAAATTGGGACCGGGACGGGGTTCCCTGTCACACCAAGGAGCACTGAGCAGCTGTGCGGGTAGAGGAAGGACAGTTCCCCACAGCCCTGGCTGGCAATTTCTGGAGGGCATCCAATTCTCGATTCTCGTCCTGGCTGAAGCAGGTTCCTGGTGGGGCATGAGGCTCCCTGTTCCTTGCTCCCCCGGTACCGAGAGGCAGACTGTCTCTGAGCCCCGGGGCTTGTGCGCAGCGCACTCTTCCTCCAGCCAGATCCCCCTTCCTTTTATTCCTTGAGCTGACCGGCTTGGTCGTGTAGAGGAGAAGCGTGGCAGGCCTGGGGGGGGGAGGGGTGACGCTTCAGGAGAGGAGGGGTCCTAAGAGCCAAGAGGCAGATGTCCTGCGCACAGCCAGGCCCCACGTTTAGAGAACTGATCCCCTTCCTCCGTGGGCTTTCCCTGAATTGACAGTTGCCTCAACCCTCGGGGCCAGAGGGCTCTTCGGCACACCCTGCCCTACAAGTGCCCCCGCAGCTTCCAAACAGGGACTCTCCTTCGGCTCACAGCACCGTCATTGCACATGCCTGCACTGCAGGGCCGTCCGTCCGTCCCCTTTCCCATTTGAACACGGGAGGAGGGCAAAATGAAAAACCCCTTTGTGGAGCCAGGTCCGGTGGGGTGCAGTGCGGCCTCACCATTTCCTCCCCAGCAAAAGGCACCACCCCCCTCGGGAGAAGCCTCCTAGGCGGGGCCTCTCGAATGCAGGTGGTCTAACTCAGGAAATGTAAAACCACAGACAGAGAGAGCCTTTTCTCACCCAACCCAGCAAACCGGTGGCAGCAGCAGGCAATTAAAGGAAGAGCAGCTTCAGCCGTGTGTGAGGACAAGAAAGTGGCTAAGCAGGGGGGCGGGGGTAGGGCGGGGGGCTTCCGAAGGCCATTAGGCCAGAGGTGGCTCGCACTGAGCTCGGGCCCTCTGGGGTTGGACGCCTTGTGCCGGGGCGCCCCAGGGGAAGAGCAGGCTGGGCTAAGGAGCTCGGTCCGTGGTCCTCCGCAGTGCAAAGCCAGGGAGTCAGGGGAGCGTGTGCTTGCGTGACTTGTTTCTCCCTCAGCTCAGGAACAGAAGTGTTTGCCTTGAGTGCTGGGCACGGAAGTGCATTCTACTTAGGGATGGGCAGCGGTGATGGGGCCGGTGGGGGGCTGCTGCCACTGACTCTACCCTCCTTATTGGTACACCTCCTCTTTGCTGGGAAAACCAGGGTTCCAGTGCTTCAATAGCCTCCATTTCAGAGAGGGTTGGCTCCTGCCTCAGGGGCACCTTCTAGCCCAGGTAGGCCTCCTCCCGTCCTTCCTGCTTTCCACAGCCGTGGAGATGCACACATCTGGCCAGGCAGGACCAGAGGGTGGGCGCCTGGCACCCGGGAATAGTCTGGCCCTCAGAAGAAGGTGCCAAGGTTCTGGACAGGGAGCAGCTGGTGAGGAGAATCAGAGGATGACCGCCACCTGCCTTCAGGCCCACTGGTTTCTCTCTCTCCCTCCCCCAGTTCTCCTCCCATATTTTGGCCCTTGGTGGCCAAGAGCCTCAAGCTGGGCCAGAATTCTACCCCCTGCATTTCTGCAGATCTGTGTGGGACAAGCCCTCACCTGAGCAGTCCAGCATGTGTTTGCCCTATTTTCGGGGGGGGGGGGGATTTTCTGTCCGCAGAATCAGATGGAAGAGGCAGGGCTCCATCGCTTTGAGGGTTGAAGCTCTCTAGGCATTGGGCTGCTCTGCCTACGCCCCACCAATCACCTCTGGGACCACAGCCTTGCCACCAGCTGGTCACCCTTCCTCCCGGGCACATGCTGGGCCGTGACCCCTGCCAGCCAACTGGCACTCACCACAGTGAAGTTGTGGGCACTGCAGTTGACCCCCCGAAAGGTACACTGCCAGAGCATCTCCACCAGGTCATGGCCTGTCCGATTGTAGAAGTCCGCCATGTCGAAGGGCCGTGCCTTGAAGCCCCTGAAGTTTGCCTTCTCCCGCAGGGCAGCCAGCGTCTCTGCATCTGCCAGGTGGGCGTTGCTGATCTCGTAGCGGGCATTGAGCAGGGCCAGCAGGTCTCCCACGTGGTAAAGGTCATTGCGGGTGATCTTGGAGAAGCGGAACTCGTTCAGGTTGCAAATAGTGACAGCCGGAAAGGTGAGGTTTGGGACGGTCACCTCATCCAGCTTGGTGACGTGGGGGTAGGTGAAGAAGTAGGTGATGCGCTCCACGCATACCAGCACCAGCAGCCCCAGGGAGCCCAGGAAGAAGAGGGCCCAGACCATGCGCCGGAGGGACAGCGTGCCATAAGCGAAGATGTGGCTCACGCCGTGCAGGGAAGACGACCCAGCAAACGCCTGAAGGCTGGACAGGCGTTCCCCTTCCATGCCGGCCTCCTTGGGGGACAGGTCCGCAGCCCTTTGCTCACCAGTCCCCCGGTCCTCGATCCACCCGGTCCTTGTCCGCCTTCCGACTCTGCCTGTGGGGGCCCTTCTGCCCGCCGCCCATGCCTCGCGGCAGCCGGGTCGCTCTGCCGCCAATCACCCCCGCAATGCAAGGTGGCCCCGAGGCACGCGCAGGCCCCGGGGGAAGGGCGCGCAACTCTGTCCTGACGGCCCCACGGCCAGAAGGCGGCTGCGGGGGGCGGGGGCGCGGGTGGCACCAGAGCTGCGCAACGCCCCAGCCGTGCTGAGCTGCGGGA